CTTGGGTAATTCCTTTCTACTCTCTAGGCCTTGGTTTCCATATCAGTAGCTGGAGTAGATGAAGCAGTGAATTTGGGTTATCACAAATCCTAATGACTTGAAGGTACTTGAGAAAAATAGAGATGCTACGGCACCACCTACTGAATCAGAATGTCATTTTCTGAGTTCTCTATATTTTTTTGTGACATGCTGAAAGTCTCATAATTCTTTTTTTAAAAAATTTTTATTGTGGTATAATTGATTTACAGTGTTATGTTAGTTTTAGGTGTATAGCAAAGTGAGTCATATTGAGTCAAAGTGAGTTATACATATATATCCACGCTTTTTTAGATTCTTTTCCCATATAAGTCATTACAGAGTATTGAGTAGAGTTCCCTGTGCTATACAGTAGGTCCTTAGTTATATATTTTATATATAGTAGTGTGTATGTGTCAATCCCTATCTCCCAACTTATCCCTCCCTACCTCCGCACCGGTAACCATAAGTTTATTTTCTACATCTGTAACTATTTCGGTTTTGTAGATAAGTTCATTTGTAGACTTTCTTTAGATTCCACATATAAGCGATATCATATGATATTTGTCTTTCTCTGGTTAGTTCCATATATTTTAATTGAGGTTGGGGGAGGTTCCTCAACCTCTAAGTGGCAGAAACTTTTCAAGCCAAGCTGGGATTCTGGAAGGGTAGTTGGGGCTTAGACACTGCTCCCTTCTTCCCCACTGGACAATATAAAGTTGAACAGGTTCTTCTGGTCAAGGATCCCTTTCCCTCTCAAAAGTCCAATATGAGCCCCTCTCCCCAAGTCAGAGATGATCTTGCTCCTGAGCCCAGCTAAGGACTTAGAGTATCTGTCAAGTTCCAGGCAAATTGGGGAATAAGATTGGTTTCTCATTGCTATTTTCAGGATTTGTGAAAATAATGCTAAGAAATCAGCAGATGGCAGTTTCATTTGTAAATTCGTTTTTCCCCCTGCCTTCTCCACGCCAATCTCCCTCCTCTCTTTGTTTTTAATTACAACGTAGTATTTGCATGTTGCAAAAAATCACAGAAGCAAAGCAGAAGCCCCTTTCTCACTCACCTTCCCCAAACCTGCTCACTTCCCCACTCCTTGCTAATGTTTGTATTTTAGTAGAGAGACAACAACAGAACCTTTTAAGATCTAAAGAGAAGGGAAATCTGAGGCACTGAGAATTAATAATAATAATAATTATTATGATAATAGTAAATAATAACAATAAACTAACATCTGTGCGACGAATACTCATGCCAGACATTATGATTGCATTTAATATATATTAAAATTTTTAATTGTTCGGATTGGGAGAGTGGAGAGGTGTTTTGGAGTATAGATCATCCTCAATCCCCTCACATGTGTGCACAAACTGCAGAGAGGGGCCTGGAAACCTTCCCTCTTTCCTACACTTCCCAGACTCCTTCTTTTAGGCTGAAAGGAGGCTGCTTCGGCAACGAAGAGCATTTTGTATGCAGACATCCAGCTTTTTTTTTTTTTTTTTTTTCATTGAAATCTAATGTGGTGAGTCTGAACTAGGGGCTGGGGCGTGATTAATTACAGCAACCATCTTAACCTGCTCGGGCTGAGCCTGAAAGAAACGAGGTCAGGCTGAACAGAAATTCAGGATAGAGAGGAATGCTAATAAAACTTTGTTAACTGGCCCTGTCTTTCTTTCAGCTGCTGATGCACGGAGTTGGAAGATTTAAGGAATCAGTTCCTGTTTCGCTGGTTCTGGCCGACCCCAGAATCAACTCCCTTGATTGGAAATAAACAGGATCTTCCTTTTTATCCCCAGGAATGTGATGGAGGAAGGACTCTAGGGGAAAAGGTCTCTTCTGCCAAAGAAGAAGAAGAATAACAAAGATGACAGTGGGAATAAAATATTGCCTTCTTCATCAAGGGCAATAAGGAAGTGTCTAGCTGTATGTGTTGAGCCTTCTCACTCTCCATATATGCATGTTAGAACTCCAGAATTCAGCCCAGGTTTGATCTGAACCCTTTCTGTTCTGTGGTCCTCTTGAGTGTACTATACGTATTGGGCTACATGTCTCAATTTTGGCTTCAGAAAACAGGATTACAATTACAGCACTTCAGGTTGACATAGTACTGTAAATGTCTAAGCATGAACCTCTCCTAAAGGGTATATCTCTGTCATGTGTACCCTCAGTGCCTGGCACAGTGCCTGGTCCTTGGAAGCTGGGGCAGAGGGGCTATGGTATAAATGGGGTAAGGCAAGGGGTGCCTGCAGCTCCCTCTCTGTTGGCTGAGGAATGGGGCGAGGGGACTGAGGAAGAACTCGGATGACTGCATGAACTTTCCCTTTCCCTCAGTGCTCTTGGGGCAGGGGCAGGAAGAGCTGTGTTCAGGGAGAAACCTCAACAAGACTCATTCCCCCTGTTGACTTTTGTAAACTCCTTGTATTCCAAAGGACTCATTTGCCCACTTCTGGGCCAGCTGTATCTCAGCTTGCTCTCTCCCCTCCCAAGGGGAGGACCATGTTACCTAAAAAAACTTACCTTTTGCTATTTCTTTTTTTCTCTCCTTTATAATTTCCCTTCTTTCTCACTTTCTTTTTTACCTTTTGCTAGTTCTATTAAATTTTCCTTTTTGCTCAAGAAGGTGATGAGGTAGAAGAATGTCCCCTCCCCGCTCTTCCAATCTTCCTTGGTCCAGGGATACAGATTCTTTTTCTCCTTCTCCTCTCCCTCCCCTTTGCCTTCCTTCTCCTTGTTCCTCTGTCATGAAGACTAACTTCCCAAAGCTGAGGGGAGTAGGGAGAGGTGAATCCAGTCTGTTTCTAGAGAAGCCCTCCCCCACTACATTCAGTAAAAAAAATAAATGTTTACTCTGCTCAAGAATTTTCAATAGCTCCCTATAATCATCAGTTTATATTCATTTCTGACATTAAAGTCCACTTTTTTTTTTTTTTGGTACACGGGCCTCTCACTGTTGTGGCCTCTCCCGCTGTGGAGCACAGGCTCCGGACACGCAGGCTCAGCGGCCATGGCTCATGGGCCCAGCCGCTCCATGGCATGTGGGATCTTCCCGGACCAGGGCACAAACCCGTGTCCCCTGCATCAGCAGGCGGACTCTCAACCACTGCGCCACCAGGGAAGCCCTAAAGTCCACTTTAATCTAAGCTATCCTGAACTTTATTCTCTGTGATTTCCCAATTCCCTCTTCCCTACAGTCAACTGGCCTTCCTGATGTGTTCACTTAGTGGAGACCAGAGCGGTTGGGGAGGCATTCTAGGCAAAACCAACAACTAAAAGGTGAGCAGAGGATGGGAGAAGCAGGAAAGGAGGCAGGAAAGGTAAAGGTTTATGGGATTTAAAGGATCTTGAGGGACATTAGTTTGATGATTTTGGGCTCAAGATTTGGGGCTGTATTATTAGATTGGGAGGAGGCCACTGAAAGATTTCAGGTAGGGTCAAATCGGGCGTTTAGAATGATCGCCCTGGGGCTGTGTAGAGAAGGGAACAGCAGTGAGGGGGTTTGGAAAGGTGGCAAAGATCCCTGCTCACTTTGGTGTCATTGGTGGATAGTAGGGTCTGCAGAACAGACCTTCTATGCTCAGAAGACGCAGCCGTGTATGGAGGCAGGGGTGTGGGTGAAATGACCTCAAGCACCCTCCTCCTGGTAGGGGGAAGGGGTGGGGTTCCAGTTTCATCTCTGAGTAGGTGTCAGTTTATTTCCACATGCTCTCTCCTTCGGGTCAAAGCCCATCTAGAAAGGCCAAGGGGAAAGTTCCCCGGGGAGGGTAGAGAATCACTTCCTCCTTTTCAGGCAGGAAAGGCAGACAAAAGTAGACAATGGACTCAGAGAGGGTGCATCCAGCAGAGAATGAGGGAGGAGCCTGAGGGGCTGGCCCGGGGCAGGAGGCCTCAGAAGATTCCCTTTGATCCCCCTTATCTCTGGAGGGCAAGCTTTCTTTTTTGGCCTGTGGGGCCTTTTGTTGCAAGCATTTCCTGGAACCCACCAAGGTAAACACAGCCAAGTGTGTGTTCTTACAGCTCCACTTTGCTGTGTCCGCTCCTCCCAGCAGAGAGAAGGGCAGGCGGGTCAACCCTCAGAGGTCAACCCCCACGTTACAGTGCGTTGGCACCAGGCCTGAGAGATAACCATGATGGCCACAAAATGCTGAACCACTGTCATAATCATCACCGTCAGCTGCACAACCAGGGCCTTCTAAGTGCTGTTTAGACTCAGGGACCAATGAAAAGTCCTGTGAACACCCCCTTTGATGGAGATGGGGAGCTACAATCATCAATAGGCCTACTGAGTTGAGGTCCCTGGAATGCCTGTGAGACCTGGAGTCTGGTGCGTGAGGACCCAGTTTTCCCTTCTCTATTAGAATGGTGCCTATACCCATTGGTATGAAGGGAGCAGGATGGAAAGGCTAGTTAAGGCCGGGCTGCCTCTCAGCTGCAATAAGGGATGGCTGATAATGTGACATTGAATTGGATTCTGGTGATAGCTTTGTGCATCCTGGTGCTGGAGGTATGAAGGCAAAAATACAGAGAAAATTAGGGTCCTTTCAGTTGAGAACAGGCATGAGCTTCCATTTACCCGTCCCCTGGGCCTAACTTAACCCAGACAGGAGGCAGCAGGGGCTACCCCTCACTTCCAAATGAGGCAAAGCTGTGTGTGGGGAGCTGACCCCATGGACGACTTCCAGCCTCACATTTAACATTTCCCTGTGAGAAGAGAGAATAAGGGATGCCTGAAATTTGGGGACATCATTCAGCTCTTCTTCCCAGGGCGTATTCCTGTCAAGTGGGGTGCTATTAGCTGAGCCAGTGGTTTATTTATAGAAAAATTAAACTCCCTCCTGCTCCCCATGCAAATGGGAACTCCACCCCATCAGGTGTCCTTTCAATCTCTCAACTCCCCTCTTCCCCTCAGAGTTGGGGACAGGAGTTCCCAATATGCCCCTCCTCCCTGCAGTTGAGGACAGTTATGTAATCCGGACTGTGACACGGAGGACAGTCCTGGCTCTCCACACGCCCCTGGCTAACGGCTGCGATGGGGAGCCCGTGATGGGAGACCTCCCTGCTTCTCCATCCCCCAGTGCGCCCCTACCAACGCGCCAGGGCTCTGGGCATGAGATGGGGCTGCTATTCCCGTTGTCCTGACCCTTCCTGAGCCGTAGGGTCCTGGGGCGCCCGGGGGCGGGGCACGGGGAAGCCCGGCGGTCTCGCCAGTGAGTCGGGCGCCGGCGCTGCGGGCACCTGTTGCGGCGCGCAGGGCGCTGAATGAGGCTCACCTGCGCGAGGCCCGGCCCAGCGCTGGCGGCGGGCGCACAGCTGAGCCGAGGTTCAGACGCCCGGCCCGCGCCTCGGGCTTCCGCCGGGTCAGCTGACCACCCAGTGCGGAACTAATACCCGGCCCGAGCTGCCTGCTGCCGCCGCGCTTCTGCTCCGCGCTCCGCACTCGGTACAGCGCGTCCGCCCCGTCGCCATGGCTGGGCTTGTGGTCAGTGGAGCTCAAGTAAGTCTGCTGGGGCCACCCCGCCCCCGCCTCGGCACAGTCGGTCGGGTGAGGGAGCCCTGGGGTGAGCGGCGTCCCGAGGTTAGACGGGGCTCCCTGCCTCACTGCGGGGGGCTGCGTCGGCAGGTGGGGAGTGGCTCCATGCCCAGGCCTACCCGAGTTTGGTGAGCACAGGCTCGGTTTTGCGCCTGGCACACCTCCTGGATGGGAGGAGGGGGGAGGCCCCCAGGTCGCCAGGGTCCCCTCCAGCCCCAGCGCTCACTGACCAGGGGCCAGCCCGCGGAGCTCTCCATCAGGCCGAGTGGGTAGTACGCACAGCCCACGGTACTTTCCCGGGCCCACAAAAAAAGTTTTCTTTCATAACCAGAAGAAAAAAAAAGAACCTTGGTTAAAGAAACGTTTTAATATATTTGTCTGTACACCAATGCAGTTGTAGAATATAAATTGTAGCTATGGGTTTTTATTTTTCCCCCCCTACCCCACGGAGGAAGGAATCTATGAAAGACAGTGAAAATCATGATGCATCCCTGCAGGCGCTGGGTTGGGGGGTTCTGCTGCAGACTTGCTCCAGCTTCTGACCATAGGCCCTTAATCAGAGGTGGGTAGAAGGCTACAGTTCTCCAGTTTTATTTTGGTCCTGATTTCTTTAACAGGCGTCCATGGGAAATGGCAACACTCCAGTTTCAACCCGAGGTGATAGACATCCAGCTTTACTTGCTGTCAGCCCTGTACTGAAGCCTTAGGTGTTGTTAGTCATTGCTGGAGGGATGGACTCAGCCATTATGGGGACCAGGTGCCTTTTATTTGCTGGAGAAGCCAGGTGTCCCTTTTAAACTCTGATTAAGCCAGCCCTCCTCCTTCCCACCTTTCCCTGCACACCCTAGAGAAATGGTTCTGAGGTGTTGAGGCTCTCCCCTTGGATTGCCTAAGGCATGTAGTGTCAGGCAGAATTAGATTTTGAGGTTACTTTTTGGGCTAAGGGAATGTTTCCCCTTCTCAGAGTTCAGAAGGGAGCAGACCAGGGAGGTACCAGCCTGGGAAGGAGGTTAAAATGATGCATCTTATTTAGCAGGCAGGGAAAAGGGGCTTTCTGGGAGTTAACAAGGCTGCTGCGGGAAGGGCTGGAGGAGAGGGCCTCTGCCCAAGCAGGGTCCCTGACCCACCAGAATCTAGGTCTCTGCATTTCAGACCCAGGGTTCTCTGGGTGTATCTTCTTGCAGCTTCATGGAAGACTTGGCAGTGGGGCTGCGCCTTCCTGTGCCTCCCTTTCCCTTTCTCTTCCCCTGTTTCCCAAACTTGATTTTTTTTTTTTTGGCGCCCCTTGATTTTAGCACATCCCAAACTGCCCAAGGACATTCACTGACCTGTGGGTGAGGCATTTTGGGCCCTTGGGGACAGTTCTAAACAGATGGAGCTGCCAGGGAAGGAGCGGAGCAGGCAGGTTGGAGAAAATGCTGTTGGGTCATTAGTGCGCCGTATTCTAAACCTAGATCAGTGAATCTGAGTGGTGGCCTTGGGGTTAGGGTCTTTTTATCATTCTCCCTCTTGCAGCCATTATAAGATACAGCACCTTGGGCTTCCCTGGTGGTGCCAGTGGTTGAGAGTCCGCCTGCTGATGCAGGGGACACGGGTTCGTGCCCCGGTCCGGGAGGATCCCACAGGCCGCGGAGCAGCTGGGCCCGTGAGCCATGGCCACTGAGCCTGCGCGTCCAGAGCCTGTGCTCCGCAACGGGAGAGGCCACAACAGTGAGAGGCCCGCGTACCGAAAAAAAAAAAAAAAAAAAAAAGATATAGCACCTTGAATGTGTATTACATGGTACTTCTCAAACTTGGGATCCTTATAAAGGGGGGGAAAACCCCACTTGCCGTGAAGTCCACAGTATTACTGTTTTTATTACAATATTGCTTAAGTATACAAACATAAGACCAGATAGAACTTTTTCTAAGTTCATATTTAGAGACTTATAAGCCCCAAATAAAGGGATGGCTTAAGTGTAAAGATGAAAACCGTAACACCCGTAAAATTAAGATAAACAATTTAATGAGATGGATGACGTTCTGCTGAAACTCGGTCACTGCTTTCAGTGCTGCTGTAGGCTGACGGCCATCACCCTGGGTTTGAGGAGTTGCACAGACCTGTAACACCACACACTCAGGGATGAGGTGGTCCTCCCTACACGTTTCTCTGTAAAAATCTTTTAACATGGATCTGACTCCATTTGGTCTTCTTTTGGCTTGAATGCATCATTTATATTCAGTATGAAAGCCTCAATCTTCCTTTTCCACTAGCTTAGGATAATTAAAGTAGGGGCATTAATACAACTGCAGGTATAAATGCAAACTTGAAATTTGGGTACTGAAATCTCATACCCGAAAGACATTGGAATAAGAAACCCCTGCCACAGGGATATTGGTCTGATTCAATAACTATTTACCCAGTGGCCACTAGGTGCCCAGGACAGGGCTGTGTACTTTAAATATGTTAACTTATCCTATTCCTCAATTTTAACTTACAGGGTAATATGTGACTCATGGGGCTGTTTAATCAGGGTTGACTAGTTAAGAGCTAGGTGGTAAGCTTTTAATAAATGTTAGTAGTTACATTATTCTTAACACCTTTGGAGGTGGTTCGTGTTTAACTAGTTTATAGAAGAGGAACAGACTCCATGAGATTGTGACCCATCCAAGATAATACCGCTAGTAAGTAGCAGCACAGGGACCCAAACTCATGCCCAGAGCTGTTTCTACTCTCACAGAGCTTCCAGTACTGTGAACTTAAAATTAAGAATCCCTCACCCCTGGGTGGGGGCAGGCATCCTAAAATAATCTCCTCTCAGTCTGACTACTACGGAAAAGTTCAGGAGCCAGACCATCCCAACTGCAAAGAGAAACCCTCAGTGTTCTGCAGTTTGGTAATTTTCTGCAGCTTCTGCTCAGAGGAGCTGGCTGTGTGTATATCTGCGTATCCCACCAAGACATTCTTATTTTTCCGTCTGGTGTTCCTCACTGTAAGGGTCTTGAACTTGATATGTTTTCATTTCCCTGATAATGGTGTCCTTTTCTGCTGTAATTCCACGCAGGGTAGAAGTCTTGGGGTGCATGTTACATAAGGTAGGCAAACTAAAAGTACGAAACTTTGTTCTTCAGTTCACTCAACATCAAGAGAATTGACTAAATGCAATGATTTCTCACTTTGGATGGGCTCTTCTGTGCCATTTAAGATCTCTTAAGCTCTGTATCCCTTCTCTTGTTTGCTGAAGATGCAAACTATTTTTGACCTGGCTCTTCTGGCTTCCTGTTTTATGTTAGGTGGTCCCATGCTCCAGAAAGTTTCCTGACATCCTGAGAGGTCATGTCTTCCACTCAGGAGCACTTCTTGAATAAGTTTCTCCTCTCATTATGAGTGTTGGTTGCAGTGCCTGGCAGTGACTGCTTGCTGCTTTGAAGCCTTTTCCGGCCAATTTGAACCCTTCAACATGGTTGACTTAACTCACATGTCAGAAAGCTTCCAGTTTACCGTGAGGGTGGTCTAAGCATGCAGATGGGTTATCAAGTTGGTTTTCTTACAAAATTTTGGAGACATGGTCTTCATCTCTGTGGAATAGGAGCAAGTTGTGCTTTGTTTAGTTCTCTGGGGATATTGCGCTGTTAAGACCATGGAATAAAACAAGCTGATGGAATCCTTGTTAGACATGTTGTGAATGATCCGAATGCTTCATGGTGATAGCTGTCCTTGGTGTTTGTTTGCTCTGAAGTGGAATCCTACAGGAGCAAAAGGGGAGCAAATGTCCCTCTTTCCCCAGGCTCTGACACTCTTCTGGGGCCTTCCACACGGTGTCATGAGGTAGCTCTAGACCTTTCAGCTAGGAAAACTCATTTTGAAGCCGAAACTTGATGATAGATGCACCACTGGATTTTGTTGATGAAGAAAATCCACATCCACGTGTGGATATTTAAGAATTCCGTGGCCTGCATGTTGGAAGTCCTTATTCCTGGTGCAAGATGTGGTGCAGGCTCTATCATTAAGAAAGATGTGTTATAGTGGGCAGGCCTCTGGAGTCTCAGTTTCCCTGTATAAAACATGAGGGGTTTTGATTGAGTCCCTACTAAACTTAGCCCTTGATGACCCTATGAGGAAAGAACTCAGTTCCTACATTGAAAGCTCAGCCTCTCTGCTTCATATATAGCGGAGGTCTTGAATGATTTTGATGTGTACAAGATGGTGGTGCATTTTGGGTGAAAGGGATGGGTCTTCAGGTGAGCGCCTTGGGCCTTGGGACCAATGTGAACATATAATAAAGAAAAAGCTGCCGATGGAGTAGACATTTGAGTGATGGAAATCCCTAGATTCTCCAGTCTCTCCTTAGTGTATAACTTCCATCTCTGCTTGGAAGCAGAACTTAATTTGTTACACAAGGAGCTCTGAAGAAAGGTGGGTCTCGTGTAGAAAGGGGAGAGGTTATCATATTGAACTTACAGCTCTTTAGTTTCTAGCCTGTATCTTCCTAAGTCAAAATAATTTTATTGGAGTCAGCTATTTTTCTGTCCCTTATCCCCACTTTGTCTCCTCCAGGAATGAAGTTACTGAAGGAGCGTGAATACACGATGTTGTATTGTCAACGACTGGCCCCCATTGGATAGGACAGGGTTGAGAGATGACCTGAAAAATTGAGGGTGCTAGGGTGCAGCGTGACTTGTATTAGATTGAGCCATATGAAAGTACTGTTGTGTAGTTCTACAATGATCGAAATATTAGTAACTCATACAGTTTAACCCAGTACCTGAGGATGCAAGAAGGCCACCATATTCTTGTTCTCAATTAGGAATCATAACTTCCCCACCCCCCTGGACACCTCTCTCTAATTCCAAGACATCCTTGTCTGTACGTGTAGAAAAATGAGGGTTTGCAGGGGGAAAGGATCAAGGCTACAGCCACGAATTTCTGCCGAGCAATTGAAGGTAGGGTCCTTTAGTGGGAAAGCGTCATGTACTGTGACCCACTGGCCAACTGGTCACTGGTTTGTCTTACTGGTTTTGGAATTAGTTGCCAGTCCTTCCTGCAGTGTGCTATCTGTAAAAGTGAGTTTCAGAAACTCAGTGCTTGGAGCAGTGAGAAAGCCCTCTGACCTTGTCACAGCCAGAAGTTTTGGGATCAAATTTCAGTTCAGCCTCTTAATGTTTGGGCACACTCTAGGTAAATAATAATAATAATAAAATAAGTAAAAGAATGCCTGAGGGAGCAGCTCTGCAAGCAGAGTGGGGTTGATTACCAAGGGATCCCTGGAGGACAGGGTCTTGGAAGCTCTGGCCACCCATCGTTGCCCCATCGCCTTTGAGTCAGCTTCGTTCAGAGTGTGGAGAACATTTTATACACGGTGGAAATAGGATGGGATTGGCGGTCTGGGGAGGTTTTCTTGTCCAACCCTATTTGTTCCAGCACGCTGCAGGTTGAATGCTGGTACGTGTATCTGCTCTGTCTTTTATGAGGTAATGTGCATCACAGGGTATTTGGGGGAGGGTGGGAGCAGAGGAGGGGAAGCAGGAGAGCCAGAGGGGCAGCTGTTGGGAAGGCCCCTGAGCAAGAGGCTGATTGCTGTGATTATACCAGCGTGCTCTGACGTTGGGTTTTTTTGGGGGACATCTGAATCAGGCCAATTTCAGTCCAGTTTCCATTGTGCTGGGATTAGTCTCCATCATGCTAAGTGTACCAGCAAAGGGGAGCTGTTGGCAGAGTCCCTGAAGCCCCCAAAGCTGATTTGATCAGGAAAACAGCCACACGTGGGGCTTCTCGTGTGTGAAGCGTGTGTTTCAAGTTGCGGAAGCAATCATCGGATCAGTGACGCAGGGTTGTGAGCAGCTGGGTGATTTCCGTTGGCCACAATTGTTTCTGTTCCATTTAATTTCCAGGTATCCTACATAGGCCAGGACTGCAGAGAGATTCCAGAGCACCTCGGCAGGGACTGTGGACATTTTGCAAAGAGGCTTGATCTGAGCTTTAACCTTCTGAGGTATGTAACCTTCACAAGACACAGACCAGGCCTGGGAGGCCCAGTCCCCCTGGTAACGGCCTGCAGATAAAAGTCAGACATCCCAGCTCTGCATAGGGTACAGGGCTGTGAGACCTGTGGAACCGCACCCCGAAGGTTTGACTCTGCTTCACATGGTTCTCTGCTCCCCTCTTTGCGCCGGTGAAAAAGCAGCAAGCTTAGCATCTCACATGTGTCACGAGAGGGCCGTCAGCGTCACTTTGTTCTTTTAATTTCTCACTGATGTCCGTGCAGACGAGTTAGACTACTCTTGGGGAGAAAGTGAGGTAGAACCAACAAGTGCTTTGGGGGTGTTGAGGAATGCTTTCCTGGATAACTCCATCGCCCAAAGATTTGCCAAATCCCAGGTAGAGTGTTTTTGTGTGATGGAGTCTTTGCCTTTTTATGAATTGGAACTTTAAATATTTGCAATGATGATTTCTCCCAGATGGTATTTCAAAGTAATTCCAACACTGTTGGCATGGGGTAGGTGGGAGGGAAACTTGAACAACTGTTCCAAACTTGGCAGAGAAGGTAAGTGTGATCGTCTGTATTATTCCAATGGAGAAAACAGACAGTTATTTCATTTCTTCCTAAAAGATTTTGAATTGCGACTGGCTTGGGGGCTTCGGGGAGGGAGCTAGGAGGTTCTTGGAAAGCAGGTATCAGTGGGACAAATGGGCAGGGATCTGGGTGGCGGCTTTTCCTAACGAGGTGGTTCCACACAGAGGTTTTTCCTAAGTGTCCCCTTTAGAGCCATGCTGTCCTGGGAAGGGAACAAACTGTCTCAAGGTGGAAGGAGAGGTGAAGAGCTGGAATCCCACCCCGGGGCTTCTGTACTTTCCTGCTTCCATGCTGCGGAGTGTCTTCTGAGTCGGGACCCTTGGGAATTACGGATTCCAGGGAAGATGGACAAAATTCAGGGCTTTAAGGCACCAGAGGGTAGAGGGGAGTTGAAGCTAAGCCAGCAGAGCTTCTTGGGCTGGTGCTCAGGAACTCACAGATGAGATGCATGGCCTCCAGGGAAGGGGCGTCCAGGGAGTTGTGTTGCAAGTGAGTGGGTGCTGTGTGCTTTCTCTCCCTGACTCCCAAGGGGTTTGTGTGCTTCTGGAGAGATGTGGAAACTGAAAAGTTGCAAAGTAATAGAGTGATGAGAGGATGCCAAACAAACAAACACTGACTGTAAAGAAACAAAGGATGGTTTTTCGTCTGTACCCAAATTGGGGACAGAATACACAACCTGGACTGGACAGTGCCTGAGACACGGGCGCCCCTTGAATAGCTCCCCAGGACAGACTCAGGCAAAACGTTCCTTGGGGCATCGGAAGGAGTTCTTCCCATGTGACTGGCCTCCAGGGGCTTGGGGGTCTGTGGCTCAGGGGGTGGCTGCTTTGCTACTGGGAGCCCAGACGTGGGTTTCAGGAGGCTGGGCCCTGTGAGGGAGCGCGTGTCAGCAATCACAGGTCATGGGACTGGGCTGCCAGCTCTGAGGATAACAGCCGTCTTTGTCATGCTCCGGGCCTTGCCTCCCTTTGGCAAAGAAGGGGCTGGAATCCTGGGAGGTGTTTGTGTGCCGAGCGAGCTTGGTGGCGAGAAGGGGCTCTTGGCTCTGAGGGGCTGGATCTAAAAGGATTTATCACAGGAAATGACGGGTCCTGGAGGCAGGAACATTTTGTGAGAAGGAGGTTGGTGGAATAAATTCAGAGGGAGAGGAGTTAAGATTCTTATTAATTTTTGTTGCTGTTGAGGAGATAGATTTCTGTAAGTGTTGAGTTTGAGGAGTGATCCCTCCTGGTTAGGAACCTGTTCTTACCCCTGTTGTGGTCAGTGTGTGGGTTATAGCTGCGTTGGGGCAGGGATGAAGTCTAATGGAAGGGTTTATATTAGGACTTATAAAGTCAGAAGGTGTTACAGACCACAGTGGAGAAAAGTAACCCTGGCTTGACATGGTTATGTTGGGATTGGCTCATCTTTGATGGTCTTATTAAGCTAACTCGGGGGCAAATGGAGGTGGCACTATTTATCTTGGGTGTCAGAGGAAGATGCAAGCTTACTCGGGCCCTGGTCTCTACCTCCAGCTGGATAGATATTCAAAGACGACTTAGATGCTTAACTAATTTCTCTTAAAAAAAAAAAATGGGGGAGGGGAGAGAAGGAGGAGAAGGGAAGAGGAAGATAATAAACTTACCTTCCAAATAGATGGGAATGTGACAGATGTCACTAGCCCACCAGGCTGCAGGGATCATCATACACAAAGGAAATACTGTGAATCCCCATCCCACCATCTGTAGAAGGTTTCTTCCCAGCCCTGCCTTACTATTTCCATGGAATTTGGGGGAGCATATCACCCTGTATTTGCTCTCCACCTGGATTCACCATAGCTCCCTGTTCTAACTCTCTCTGCTCTATCTGCTGTTCTCCCTGTTGGCAGCCTGTCTGGCCCCACTTGGGATACCCCCTTCATCTCTCTGAAGCCGAACACAATGTTACTGTGTATTATGCCAGTTCAAAGTGTGCTGGGGGCGATAGGGTGGTAATTGTTGGACGCAGCAGGAGACACATTGGGGTAGCATTGTTCCTAGAAATCTTCTGGGTACCCCCTTGCCCTAGAGACCTTCTTCCTGGCGATTCCTCTCATTAGGATCAGGTCTCCTGCATGTGACCAGGTGCCCCTCTTTCTCAGCCACTTTCTCGGCTTTCCTATGTCACTTATCTTCTTTCCAGAGCTGCCCTCAGAAACACAAAATTCTTATTACTCTGTTATATTCAGAAGAATCACCCCTCCCCTCCTTTTTATAGAGCATCTCTGCAGGCTTCCTTTTCTCATCCAAAGAGTCATATCCGGGTATTGCCTTAAATGGATGAGAGCCACTAATACAAATTTTGCTAATCTCATAAATCACAGAATCAGCTGCAGTCTGTTTGTGCTTTACAGTACAGCTTGGTTTTAGGCAAGGAGTTCTGTTTATTCGTTTCAAAATATTTAATACGTTCACATGGCACAGTCTTTAGGAGGAACAAACATGCAGCCAGTGAAAAGAAAGTGTCCTTTACACGTAGGTCCTTTTGCCTCCTGGTTCCCATCTGCACTGCTAACTACTGGTAGTTGATTTCTGTCATCCTCCAGAGATATTCCATGCTTATACTAACATGAGAATTTCTCATGTGGCCAGATTTATATTCTTGCCAAGATGTTAGTTAAAACGGAGGCACCAGGCTTCAGTTAACCACTTGTGATAGGGTCATCCTTCTCTGTTGTCTATTAATTCATAGCCCATCATCGTTGTTAATTTCATTCATGAAAGTGATGTTTCTGCTGATGGTCTCTATGGCCACCTGTTCATGCTGGAGGGGAGTGTGGTTATGGGTTTAAAAGCTCTGAACTTTTATTTTTTCTTTCTGTTACACCTTAGGGTCTTGTCTCCTGCGTTAACTATGGTGACTCCATCTCTACCTCAGTTGGGTTGTCCAGTAGTAAACTATGCAGAAAGTCGTGGAAATTGAGACTGTCTTGCTTCTATGACTCTGTCCTGGAGGGAATTAAAGTCCCTGGGCAGTATGTTCTCTGTCGGGTTGGAAAGGGAAGCAAGACAAAAGGTCCAAATAAAATTTCTGGCTCCCTTAAAAGACTCAAACATTCCTTACCTGCTCTCTCAGCCCAGACCTCATTCTTCCTGTTATGATGAAAACCAGGTGAACTGCAATGACTGAACTGGGACCAGCTCTCTGGACATGATTCTCAGGTGTAGGGTCCTGCCATCCCCCCTTTAATGGGCATATTAGGTAGGTAACAGCCAAGATGAGTGAAGTTTTGTCCCGTAAACTTAGATGCATTAATGATCATGAATCCAATGTTTACATCTGCATGACATTGTACTTTAGATTTTATTTTTTGAAGACAGTCTTGTAAATGATGAAACCAACAATGATCAATTTAGAAATCTTGAAAAACACAGAAAGGTATGACAGAAACCCTCTTTCTCTCAAATTTTCACTGATAATCTTACCACCCAGGAATCACCATTGTTAACATTTTATTGTCTTGGAGTCTTTCATAATGCCAAATATTTTTAAAATGATGCTGTTGCTTACATTGTGTTGGAAGCATATTCCCATCTCAATAAATACTGCATTACAGTTTTTAATGGTTTCTTATTTCTTAATGTTGGACATTTAGATTGTTTCCAGATTTTTACTGTTATAAATATCTCTATTATAAATGGCCTTGTAATACTCATTGATGAATGTCTCTGATTAGTTGTTTGGGGCAAATTCCTGGAAATGGAATTGTCAGAGGGCCTTGATACAGATGGCAGATTGCCTTAAAGAGAGGTTATACCGATTTCTGCTACCAGGAGTATTTGAATATCCATTGTCCCAAACTCTTACTTGAACTCGTTTTTGAGGTTTTCGTATTTTCCTTTACTTCTGTGATCAGTACAGAGAGTCCTCTGGTTCCTTGACTGAGCCAAAGAGATCTCGGTAATGAGTTGTTCCAGCTTTCATCTTCCTTCTCCCCTGACTGGGAAAGGGCAGTGTTCTCTCTGGTGGCCCGTTTCTCTCCCCCAAGGGCCTTGAGTGGGTTGGGTGGGTTGCCTGCTGAACCTGTGAACACAGCAGGCAGAGCAGAGCTCCCGTGGCACACGGTGGTAAGCACGTCTGTGTCAATCTTGCAATAAAATTGAGAGGGCTTAATTGATCTATGGCAACAGGAAGCTTACGTTTTAAAAATCATTGGCAGTTGTATCTTACTTAGCATCTCTCTGATAAATGTACTGGATGGGAGAATTGCTTAGGAGAAACTTTCTTAGGTGGGAGCTTGCTGCTTCTCTGGCTTTGTCCAGGATGACAGTGATGGGCTGGGGAGTTTGGGCAGCTCCAGCAGAGAAAGGGTGGCTCTGTCCTCCCTGCCAGGGAATGAGGTGGACAACTGGTACACTGTCAAATCTTCGAGGATGGACATACCACCATGTCTATGCCTG